TTGGAGAACATGTACTGCAGATGGAGATGCGAACAATTTCTTAAGGGCAGGCTCTGCCACTAGACTAGAATATAAGCACAGTGTCTGTGGTGAATTGTTTACGAAGATGACATTCCTATCACCGAACACGCTTTTCACTTGTTTCAAGAGGTCAAGTCTATGATAATTTTTTTGTTTATTTTTTAATTGGGCTTGGTCCTTCTATTGGCTTTGACCAACAGAATAAGACATACAAGTTGTATGATGTCTGGGCTTAAGCTTTGTAGGCCCTATGAAATTTGTTTGTACATTTTGGGAACCAGGTGCCAAATAAAGAAGTCTGGGTACTCCTATGAGAGAGAGAGAAAAAGACAGAGACACAAAGAGAGAAATATACATATAGAGAGATCTATGTATGTATGTACATATGTATGTATGTATGTATGTATGTATCTATCTATCTATCTACCTATCTATCTAGAGGAGAAAGACTCACCCACTACCACAAACACCATGAGGTTGAAGATGAGGTCCACATGGAACAGAAATTAATGGATTAATGAAATGAATAGCCTCAATGAAAAAGCAGCAGCACTGTAAGAGGATGTCAATGCAGTCATTTTAGGTCTTTTATCCACAGGTGAGCCTCCCAGCTGATTCCATAATGCAGAGATAAGTCCTACTAGAATTTCTGCTCCAGAGAAACATGGACAGTAAAATAGTTGTTTTGAAATTTTGTAGCCAAACTAAAACTGCACCAAAGATTGGTCAAATGACAGAGTGTCTTCTACTAAGGTATTTTTGGGTTGTTGTTGCTGGTGATGGTGGAATTGGGACTGCTTCCATTTAAGTAAATCCATGAAAATACCTTAAGCAGCCAAAATAAGAGAATGCACTGTCATTTCTTCCTGCTTAAGGTTCTCAATCCAGAGCCACGCTAATGTACCCACCTGGTTTAGGCTGGCATTCAAAGGCACAAAGGTAAAATAATAAATTCCTAACATAATAGCGTGGAACATTCTCAGGTGCCGCATCTATGAGGATGGATTTGTAAGTGAGGGAAGATCATGGGTACGCCTTTAGTCTACAGTGCCACACTGGTTTTGCTTTCAAATGGTGCCTAGGATAGAAACTGTGATGGTAAACTTGGGATGTGGTGACTCTCAGGCCTAGTATCTAGATTCCTGTTTTGTTTATCAAGTCAGTGTGTCCTTGACATTATAGTGTGTGTGGTGGGAAGACACAGCCTTTTTCTTATTCTTTTTTCCTGAGGATTAATGTTATGCCTGATAATCCTGCCAACAATTCAGTCTGCCTGCATCTCTGAATATCACCTATTCAGGACTTTGGCTTCCTCTCTGTCCAAGCACCTCTTCTCTATTATACCTCCCTGCACTCTGGGCCACCACCTGTTATTTGCTAACATCACCAATGATACCATGTTTCACTGATTTTCTTTGTGTCCTTATAGTTCCTGGAACTTGAGTTCCTGCTAGGTTCTTACTGAATCTTCTTACTCCACTGAAATGATAAGACTATGTAAGTAAGTTCATGTTCAGAACAGAATCTAGTTCTTCTTTCGCAATAATCCTTTACATATTTGGTAATAAATTGTGGTTTTTACCTTTTCTAGTGCTGATAATTGCTAATAACCTTTTAATTATCTTCTAGAGCTAAATCTTTCTGGGTCCTACATTACCAACTCTACCAGTTTATGGACATAAGTTAGCTTATCAATATTCTTTCAAAAGTTGCTTGTAGAAGTGATTCATGCACTTCCATAGAGAATATTTTAGGGATGGTATTTCCTATGATAATGCCATTATAGTTTATGTTTATTTTATTAGTTTGCTTTAGTGTTGTAAAGAGTTTTGTCTGGGAAAAATTGAGATTTTACAGGTCCTAAAATTTATATGACTAAGCTGGGAACTGTGGTGCCCAGAGTCCACATACTTGCGAGGTTCAGGAAGGAAGATTACTTGAGCCCAGTAGTTTGCAACCACTCTACCAGCCTTAGCAATACAGGAGACCTTGTCTCACAACAACAACAACAACAACAACAACAACAACAACAAAAACCCACAAGGGCTGGGAAGGTGGCTCAGTGGTAGAGTGCTTGCCTCGCATGCATGAGGCCCTGGATTTGATAACTCAGCACCACATAAACAGAAAAAGCCAGAAGTGGCGCTGTGGCTCAAGTGTTAGAGTGCTAGCCTTGAGTGGTAGAGTGCTAGCCCTGAGTTGAAGAGCTGAGGGACAGCGCCCAGGCCCGGGTTCAAGCTCCATGACTGACAAAAAACGAAACAAAACCAAAAAAACAAACAAAATGCCCCAACATCAAAATGACATGTAAAATTAAGTTATTCTCAAGGCCTAGGAAGATAAGGGATCCTTAATGTTGTTCCATTAATTTGTCTGTCTCAAGGTTCATTTTGTTATTGTTTACATCTTAAATGTTACTTAAAAAGTCATGTGTTATAATTTGGTCCCCAGCTGATGGCGCTATTGGGTCTGGCAACTCCTGTTGAGGAGGTTAGGCCACCGAGGGGTGTCAGACTCAACTTCCCTTTCTTTTTTTTCAGCTTCCATGAGGTGATTAGATTTGTTCCCTGTCATAACATTCTGTGTCACTACTGGCCCTGGGTGGAAACATCTGAAATTTGGGGCAAAATTAAAATTTTCCTCCTTATAAGTTATGTCAGGCATTTTGTTACAGTAATGGAAAACTAGCCCAAATTCCCAGTTCTTCTCAACTATGTGTAGTTAGGATTACACTTGTGTTAGCATACCTTATTAAATTTAACTTCTGTACTTAACCTATGGGACTGTGATTAAGTAATTTGCATATAAAGAACATAATAAATGTTTGTTATTTTTAGCTTTATTGTTCACTAAAAGATGTTAGTACATACAAGTCCTTATGTCGAAAACGAACTTTACAACTTTGGTGGGGGGGGGGGCGGGGGGAGGGTAGGAAGGGATGGGAAGGGGAAACAAAGGAGGAGGCTACAATGCTTGATAAGAAATGTACTCATTATCTTGGCCATGTAATTGTAACCCCTCTGTACAGTATTTTCACAATAAAAAAATCTTAGTACATAATTTCCCTTACCTTTAAAAAAATCTACAGTATATTAATTGTACAAAGGACTGCTTTGTGACTAATTCTTTTCCTTTTGATGTAATGGAGATAACCCCTGCTCTATCTTTTACATAGGGTTATTGTGAGGGCCAACTGACAATATGTGAGTGTATTTGGTAAATCTTCACATGAAAGGTATTGTTACTGAGATTTCTTTTCTTTTTTTCTTTCGTGCGTGTGTGTGTGTGTGTGTGTGTGTGCGCGCTACTGGAGTTTGAACTCAGGGCCATGCATTTAGTGGGCTAGGATTCTAAGACTTGAGCAATGCATCCCGTGCTTTTTTGCAGGCTATTCTGGAAATAGAATCTAGTAAACTTTCTGCCCAGGTTGGCCTTAAATCCAGACCCAGCAGATCCAGATGTCAGCCTTCTGAGTAACTAGGATTACAGGCTTGAGTCACCAGCAAGGGACTGATACTATTAATTTATACAAAAGGTTACACTCATGAAAGAAAAAGAGGGGCAGAATCACTGAAGATCTTAGTTGAGGTGGAGGAAAGCAAAGGACTTTGCACATAGGCAGATGCTGGAGCCAGTGAACACCGGTTGGATAAGAACATATTCAGAAAAGCTGAAATAGCTGTATGCTGAAATCCTAGCTACTCAGAAGGCTGAGATGTGAGAATCATGGTTCAAAGCCGCGTGGGGGCAGGTAGGTCTGGCAGACTCTTATTTCCAACAAACTAGCAAAACGCCAGGGGAGCGATGGCTCAAATGGTAGAGTGCCAGCCTTGAGGAAAAAATGCTCAGAGATAGAGTTCAAGCTCCAGTACGGAAACAAAACAACAAAAAGAAAAAGAAAAGTACCAGGTAAGGTGGCCGTGTGTGTGCGTGTGTGGGGGCATGTGCGTGTGTGTGGGCATGTGTGCATGTGTTTCTGGGTGTGCGCATGTGTATGTGTGCGTGTGTGGGCATGTGTGCGCGCGTATGCGTGTGTGTGGGCATGTGTGTGCGTGTATAAGCGTGTGTGGGTGTGTGTGGGGGCATGTGGGCATGTGTGTGTGTATGTGGGCATGTGTGCATGTGTGTGCACGTCTCTGTGTGTGCGTGTCTGTGTGCGTGTGGGCATGTGTGTGCGGGCATGTGTGTATGTGTGCGTGTCTCTGTGTGTGGTGTGTGTGGGCATATGTGTGTGCGTGTCTCTGCGTGTGTGTGCATGTCTGTGTGTGTGGGCATGTGTGTGTGCGCGTCTCTGTGTGTGTGGTCATGTGTGTGTGTGCGTGTCTCTGTGTGTGTGCGTGTGCGCGTGTGCGTGTGCTTGCGTCCTTCCACAGTCCGGCCTCAATGCCTTCTCTCTCCGTGCACAGGCACGGTGGGTAGGTCACACTCCGCGGTCCGGGGCCCCTCTCCCCCAGGACCTCCCCCAGCCCACCCAGGGCCCTTCCGCCAGCTCTTCCCGTGACAGTGAAAATCCCCTTTCACTCGGGCTCCAGGGGACCCCGTGCTCTGCATCTGCTCCCACAGAATGAGTCCCAAGAAGGAACTTTCACAAGTTGGAGGGCGTCTGAGGTCAGGACTCTCAGGGGAGAACGCCTCGCACACACGCTGTAGCAGTCATTACCTCTAGCGGCTGCGAGGGCGAAGCGCGTTCCCGCCGCACCGTACGCGGGACAGACCCGTGCCAACCCCGCCAACCCCGCGGGAAGGCCTGGCTTCCCGGCCCCCCGCCCCACGCCTTCCCCCTAACCTCCTCCCGCCCGGGGTGGCGCGGGGGCGTGGCCTGGAAGCCGGGGGCGTGGCCTGCCTGCGGGGGTTTCCGCGCTCGGGGCGCGCCGGGAGGGGGCGCGGGCGGAGCTTCCGCCGCGAGGGGGCGGGGCCGGCGTGCCCGGCGCTCTGACGGCCCCAGCCAGGGAATTTCAATTTGAAACCTAGCGGAGGGCGGAGGCAGGCGCGGCTCGCCGGCGGCGGGGACGGGACGCGGCCCGGGTCCTGGAGAGAGCGGGCGAGCGAGATCCTGAGGGGCGGCGTCGGGGTGAGGCGGAGTGCGGGGGCTACAGACTGGCGGGCGCGGGGTGCGGGTCGTGGCCGGTCCGGTCCAGTCTGGTGTGTGGAGCTGCAAGGGGGCGGCCCGGATCTCCCCCTTCCCCTGGTTGCACCCGGCTGACCCCCGGCAGGAAGCGGCGGCGGGACGGGCTCCGCCGAGGGGGATGGGGAGGGAGGGGTTCTCCCCAGCTCCCCTCCCCTCCCTCCTCGGGCGCACCCGAGTCTCCCAGCTTGGGGTCGGGCCGGGGTCGTGTGTGTGTGTGTGTGTGTGTGTGTGTGGTGTGTTGCGTGGCTCCGAGCCAAATCTGTGCTCGGTGGCGGCCGTCCGGCCCGCCCCTCCCCGCTTTCCCTGCAGAGAGCACGGGTGCGGGGTGAGGAGCGCGCCGGGGTCCGCTCCGCGGGGCGGGGGGCTCGGCTCACGCGTGTGGGCTCCGCGGAGCCGCCGGGGAGGGAAGGAGGCCGGGAGAGGAGGAGGAGCCCGGCCGGGTCCTGGGGGGCGCGGGCCTGGGTGGAGGATGGCTTGCGGAGGGGGAGACGCGGGCCGGCGGCGCGTGGGCGCTGCGGGCGGCCGGGCGGGGGTGGGGGGGGGCGGCGCGCCGGCCCCGTGCGTGGCGCAGGTCGGCGAGCGGGGGCCGGGGCGACGCGGCGACCCCGCCACCCGCGCTGTCGCTGTGCGGACGCACGATCGGCTCCCCCGGTCCCGTACCATGCCTCGGCCCGGGCCGCGTCGCCGCCACGGGCTGCCGCTCTCCTCCGGCGGCGCGGGGCAGGGGCCTCGGGGCAGTTTTAGGTGAGCCGGAGGACGAGGTCGGGGAGGAGGAGGATATAACGGGGCCCGTGGGTTGGCATCTCAGGGAGGGGGGGCCTCCATCCTCCACCGGAGACGTGGGCCCTGGGCCGCTGGGCCGTCTGCGGTCGGCATTAGGCTTCTCCAGATGTCAACCTCGGGTGAGGCCAAGGGTTTTTGGGTGGTGTTAGGGGAGCTCTCACTCACGAGGTGGTGGTATTTGGGGAAGGGGGTCTGTTCGGAGCCTTTCCTACAGACCCAGGATATGCCTGCCTTAAAAGTTCCTGTCACCGTAACAGCTGCCCCGGAGCCCAAGGTGGGTGAGAGTAAGAAGGAACCTAGAGGAAGTGTAGACTATTTTCTCTTTCTTGAATCGTGCCTTTTCCTCAGTTTCCTGAACTCACGTGGGTGCACTTCTGACGTGTGAAATGTCTGGGGTGTCTTGTTCCTCGTGATGCTGTTTTTTCCCTTTTGGTCTTTTTTTTTTTTTTAAAGAAAGATTCAGTGTTCACTTTATTTTCTTCAGTCTTTTTTTTAATTCTTTTATTTTCCTCCTGTTTTTGATCTTTCAAGGGAATACGTTATTTCTGTATTCTCTATCCATTAATAGTTCTGCCAATTAGTATTTTAATCAGTGTCCTGTCACTTTTCCCCTTGAGTTTGGTACCTGAAGGAAGTAAGTCTTGGCTGTGGAGGATGGAGTTTGGAATGTTCAATTCCTTGTACAGATTTTGCAGGGGAAGACTGATGCTCAATGATCCTGATTTCCATTTGCAGGTTCTTGATGTGAGAAATCACTGTGTTGCTGTTGCTGCCACTTATGGGCTGCATTGCAGTGCTGCCTTGAATTGTGTGATAAAGGCCAACTAAGTCCATCCATCAGGTTGTTAATCTAACACAACTTGTAAAAGACCTGTGCTGCATTACCTGGCAGAGCTGGCATGGTCATTTCTGCAGGTCATTTTGAGAAACTACCATCAAACCTTAGATATCCGATATCTGGCGTATGGAGGTTTTGGAGAGCTGTACAAGTGGTAATGGGATAGAACAATGAGGTGGATTTAGGGCTCATTTAATCCTGTCCTGTCCTTCTCACTTCTTGGGCAGAATTCCCACTGAAGTCAGTAGTTGTCTGTGTGCAGTCTGCTGAGAACAAGAGGCTGCTCATTAAGAGTAATAGTGGGGGACAGTTTCCTTCCTTTTAAAGCATCCCTTTTTCTGAAGACTTACACATACCCATTCTTCAGTCTCATGTCTAATAGAAGTAGTTAGGTGGTATGTGCAGAAACCTTCCAGCCTTCCAGAAAATTCATGGATAAATCGAATCATTAAACCTCCAACTTTAAATCTAAATTGGATGACAATTATTTGAAAAGGTAAAAAAGTCTGATTTTTCAAATTATTATTATTATTTTTTTTATATCAGGGTCTTGTCATATAGCGCAGGCTGGCCTGGTAACTCACTGTTTGTAGCTCAAGCTGACCTCAAATTCTTTCTTTTTTTTTTTGTTGGTTGTGGGGCCTGAACTCTGGGCTTGGGTACTGCCTCCTCAGCTTTTCACTCAAGGCTAGCGCCCTACCACTTGAGCCACAGCGCCTCTTCCAGCTTTTTCTGTTTATGTGGTGCTGAGGAATCGAACCCAGGGCCTCATCCACAGGAGGCAAGCACTCTACCACTGACTTCAAATTCTTGGCCCTCTTCTCTCACCCTCCTCCCTGCTGGGATTACAGGCTAGTGTGTGTACCGCTCTGCCATCTTTAACATCTGAAATTTAAGTCCAAGTGAGAAGAAGGAAATGGGAGATTTAGGGGAGGAATCTGAAGGGAGGCACACCAAAAAAAATTATTATAAGTAGACTCCAAGGAATCTCAGAAGCTCTGGTTCTATTTTGAGACAGTGTTAGTACACTTTGATCATGTATATCACACTTTCCTTAGAAATTAGTGACTAGCAGGACCCATCATTAGATTTGCAAGAACTATAAGCTTTACAGCTTAGCGTAACTGTGGCTTACCCTGTCCAAATTACCAGTTCCAAAGAATTGAGTTTAGAAAACCTAACCAGTGACCAGAATGTAAAAATAGATATTTAAAAATCAGAACCATGTCTACGTGTACTACCCAACCATTTGCTTTCTACTAAAAATACTTGTAAAGATGACAAAGCAGTCCTCAACCAAAATATTTATTGGTAAAATTTCTCTGTAATTAGTAATATTGTATAGTTAGGTTTAACATCAGGTTCTTCTGTCAATCACTACTTTCATTACTGTGGCTTGTGACCTACAAATCTTGTATCTTTGCCATTTTATTTAGGAATGTGGGTTTTATGTTTTATATAGCAGCTATCTAGCTGTTGGAGGTTGATTTTTTTCCCCCATTGTTTCTCTTTTTTACAGGAAAACATATTTTTCTTTTTTATGAACTGAGATAATCTGTTTAAAAGTTGTATATGGACTTATTGAAAAATAAGAATTAATAGCTCTTTTTTTAAAAAATAAAGCAATAAACGTTTATAAGGTTCAATGCCACCAAGTCACACTTTTTCATTTCTGAAATCTGTATTGTATACTTGCAGAAAACAAAGGAAATGTGCCTACCTCCTCCACCCACCTTTATTTAGAAACAGTTTCAGTGGCCTTGTTTGCTTTTTTTTTTTCAGATTCAGAATTACAGTACCTAACTACTAGGTACCCTTAAACAGATTTAAAAGCCTCAAGTAAATGTTTATGCTGGCTTCAGTAGTTAGCAAATACTAGCCAAACCCTAATTTACTGCTCTTTTATAGAATCTTGGAATCTCCGGGCTGAACTGTTTTGCAGGCAGCAAATCTGCTCTTAGCCTTGCCCCCTTTCCCTCAACAGAAACATTTTGCAGCCTCTTCAGAAGACCTGCCTTAAGTAGGAGATTGTGTGTGATTCCCCCACATACTCTAGGTCAGCACATCCTTTGGGAATACCATATTTTGGCATGTATCATTTACTTGATAGTCATAAGATTTCTGTCATTCCTTTGTGCACAGTACCCCAGACTAAAATCTATAGTGGAATCAGTGCCTGTTGTCATTAGCTGTGGGTGGTGGCTTCTATGTTAGCTGTTAATAATATGGCTTTTAGAAGTTATTACAAAGTCAGAAAGGAAGAAACTGTACTATTATCTAAAATTTTTTTTGTGTTTTTCTGTACATTGTATATTTCATATAAAGGGGGAGGTACTGTTTATTACATATGTTTGCTAGTGATTATTTCAACATTGTACTAAATAAATATTTGAAGAATTCATTGAACCTTTATATATTGATTTTTTTAGTAAAGATTATTGGATTTTAATATTTGGCTATAGTTTTTATAGAAATATGGAGAAAATAGGAAGGGTTTTACTTTTGTTTTTAAACTTACTTTTTTTAAAACCTAGTTTTACAAATTCTTCCTTTTGTTTTGTAGTTGGGTTGGCATCTGTATAGGATCTTTATTTGTTTGTTTTTTATTTATTGCCATGCTTGTGGGCCTGGGCATTGTTCCTGAGCTCCTTTTTTTTTGTTCAGTCATGGGCTTGAACTCTGGACCTGGCTCTTCAGCTCAAGGCTAGTGTTCTACCACTTGAGCTGTAGTGCCACTTCCAGTTTTCTGGTGGTTTATTGGAGATAAAAGTCTCATGGACTTTCCTGCCACAGCACCACTTCTGGCTTTTTCTGAGTAGTTTATTGGAGATAAAAATTTCATGGACTTCCCTTCCTCAGCTGGCTTTGAAGCACAGCCCTCAGATTTCAGCCTCCTGAGTAGCTAGGTGTGAGTCACTGGTGCCCAGTGGTGTGTGTGTGTGAGATTCTTACACATGTACGTTTTATGTCTCAAAGGGTAAATAATTATACATTATTTCCCTGGTTTGAGAAATAGAATTTATTTTGATTTAAATCTCAGTTTTTTTCCCTGAATTTTCTTGTTTAAAATCTTTTACTTCCTGATATTATAATAGATGTCATATGGCCTGTCAATGCCTACATACTTCTGCTTTTTTTAGGATAGAATTTGAGCTAATTTCATATTCTTAATTACTTTTAAAATGGAAATTCTTTTTCACATTACAGGTTCTCACTTTGATATTTTTATTTTAGCAAAATAGGGTCATAAAAGCTTCAACATGTATGGGTTGTCCCCAAATAATCACTATGCTAATATGGAGTATTATGATATCTAAAGGTA